CCCGAGTAATCGCTTGGCTTGTCGATCAGACGATTGAGGAAGCATATAGCAGACCGAACCAGAACAACACAATACTAATGGTATTGCGTGCGTCCATATTTAACTTTTTCCAATCATGACAAAATTGCAAATTCCTTCCTTATATAGATCCATGCACGCATCTGCAGGCCTATATCACATTCGTTATCGGAAAGCGTAAGGATTTTAAAAAAATCACAACCTTGATCTCTTCGAGTTAACGAAGTTTAGATTTACAAATGTTAATTTTCAACAGATGCTTTGAATGTAATATCAATTTAGAATCAACAAAACCAGTTTATGACATGATTTGCTTGGTTTGGTACTAACAATACTCAGGGTCTTTTGAGGAGGGCTTTGTGGGGTGAGTGCACGTGCAGAGTGCTCGTGTTTTTGGAAGGCTGCAATCTGTAACGTTTAAGCCTCCTTGTAATAGTGCGGAACTTTTGTCGAATTTATAGTGCTAACACACCGAAATATATATTCCAAGAGCCCCCAGCGAGACATCCCATCCGGTCTCATTATACTGTCCTTGATCAAACCAGTTGTTACTCTACCACAATACTGAATGTTAAGCAATAAGAGCTAACTACCATTTTAAAGACATTTATATGTCTTGGCCAGGGGACAGAAGACAAAACCTTCATCACAGGGTCGAACGCAACTGAAGGCCAAACGTTAGCAAGTGTCAAGGGAGACATTAAGAAGATGAAAGATAATCGTAAGTTCAGTCGCCTCTAACGATCATGTAATGGAGGCAGCAGGTACAATTCTTACGCCCTACCTGCAGGGAAGCTATGCCATGAATTTATAGGAGCTTATGGTACTTACGTGACTATAGTATTGATCATAAACAGTCACCGTATTCAGGCTATATACCATTTCAGTGAGTTAAATTGAGTTAAAATTCTAATGTTGCATTTGAGAAGCCTTATCATCTATTGGAATATCAACTTCAAATTACCAGTGCTGTCACGGAGGAAAGGAAACCCACAATTAACCTTAAGTGCCTTTAGCGGTATCGCCTTTCAAAATGTTGCTGTTTGTCCGCATAAATTTCCCTGTAATCAGACCGATTTTTTAGTATATTATACGTGACATCGCTATTCAAGGGTCGTTTAACTGTGTCATATTTACATTCTGTGTTGCATTCGCCGACATGTTATTGGTAAATGTCAAATTCTACTATATCTGAGGTTTTTTGAGATGTCTGTACCAGGGAAACTAAAATGGCAGTCAGTCACTTTCGGTATTACTACACATCGCTCCGATTGAGAGCCGCATCACTTTATTAATTATATATCAATGCGCAATTAACGGTCTTTATTCCAAACAAACCAAATATTACATACCACAACAAAGAATATAAACGATTAAGTAAAATTTGTGGTCATGCTCGTGTTTAAAAAAAATACCTCGATTTTCAGTTAGCATTAAATATTAAAATTTAATATAATTATGTCAAATATGTCCAAAGGAGTATATGAGGAAGGACATATTGTCTCATTATGTATCCCTTGTATTTAATTTATTGTATCATGCATTCAATCAACTTTATGATTTGTCATTTTATTGTGCCCTTTTAGTAAAGCATCGTTTGCTAATTAAAAATCCCAATAAACTTTGTTACAGTAGGTATCTCTAGTACTCTCAACTTTGTATCAGCATTCACAAATCCTTATTCGAACTTCTTGTTGTCTACAGGGCATTAACATGTACAAATTGAATCACGCAAATCTTGTTTAAGATTTCGACCGTAAAGGCACAATTTGGCATAAGATGATGTTTTCAAAAGAATACTCAAGCAAATTCACTTAACGATGAGTTCAACTGTTGACAAATCCAGTTACAGAATAATATTTTTATAGGTTCCAGAACATTTCAAAGAAATGATTTGCGCTGGTTTTAAGATCAGCACTTAACTGTCGACAGACTGTTTACATCAGAGCTCTTCTGGGAACTAGTTTAATACCAAAGTACAAAAAGTCACCAATCGATAAATCCGGAAAATTGCGAGTTGCGGGGAGTTTATGCGTGTTTAGTTTATAAAGAATCGCTGATTGGTCATTTTACCAATTAGTTTGGATTTATCTAAAAAAATCAAATACTTCCTTAAAGGCCGTTTTCAAAATAGGAATTATCCTGTGGGATTGGCGCACGAAATTCCATTTTAATTTTAAGTGGTTATCATCCTTTTAACGTAAGCTTGTTTTCTACTTCGAGACATACATTTCATTCAATTACAAGTCAGCTTAACTGGTTTAAATCGTACGAATTGCATGAACGTGTCGACACATAATCCATATGTAAGGATTTCCCGTACTTTAGAATGAAATATTCTATTATTCTTCCAAATTGAAGTTCAAATCTAATCCCCCTTTTTCACCTCTTTATTAAATTATTTAAAATGATTGTCAGGCTTATAAGCTTTCAATTAGAAGTCGGTTTTCTCGCAAGTTTGCACTTTCTTTGAGAAAATTGAAAGTAAGTCACTGTCTGCAAATCATTACATTGAACTTGTGATTTAATCACTGCTTTTATAGCGTTAAAGAGAATAGAGACTATTATCGTTTCTGACAGCCTGTCAAAGTGCAATTACATAGATGTACGTAACATCACCGAGGCTGATACTGAAACTGATATCGATTCGGGCCTAATGCTACAGTTTATCGGCGCTTTCGTGAAACGCAATATGAGTTCGAATCTCAAATTGCCAACAAGTGACCCACTGACTGGTTTATATAGGTGTCAAAGGTAAGCGCGTCGCCAGAAGAGATTCTCCAGTGTTCACGGCACAGAAATGTAGCAATAATAGGACTTGGGTTTCAACATATTGTTCCTCGCCAATTGTCTGTGGGTGATGTCTTCAACTGTGCAAGGTTAGGCTAAACCATGAATAAAACCCTGAAATCTGTTACAATCAAGATGAACATCATCCTATTAACGATATACTTCGACTTTTTTTATGGTGTTTAACGTCCTTCTTACAGCCAGGGTCATATTTACCGTTATATGGCATTGCTTCGATGTACCCTTACCAATACCAGTTCATGAACTGCCAACAGCGAAGAGATATAGAAAATTATTTAAGCAGATTGAGGTTGTCTTCCCTTATAAAAATTGAAAACGGTAAATACAATTCTTGAACTGCTCTAAAATGATCTTATATGTAATATAGGGTTCCAAAATTAGCCAACCTTGACGCTAGAAGTTTTAAATCACTATGAAAGAATGTCTTTCTTTTATCCTGTAACTGGTACTGCCATTGTCGGAATACACATGTCACACATATATTGCTGTATCAAACAGTGACAGAAAACAGATGTATTTCAGCACGAGCGGTAATTCGATAGAATTACTTTCTGAATTTACTTGGATATTACGTTTAACAAAATAATAACTGTTGAAATAATCGATTTTATATGTTGTCATGAACAGGTTGATTTAGGGAAATTCATAAAAATCACTGTCATATCATATTTAAATTTGTAGCTAAATTTCCGTGCGTAAGAATTATTTTGGTGTACGTCATCAGGACAAAAATGGCGAAACTTCAACGCCCGCTAAGAAAGACTGCTTAATCACGTACATGTATCTCATGTGTACAGTGTTCCAGGCTGTGTTAACATATTTCATCATGTTGTGTTGCATAACATCATTAGTTGCTGTTTTGACAGGGTTTAATGTCCTTGCAACAGCCAAGGTCATATGTGGACGGGGGAGTTGGGTTAGTTTTTTCAAGAATTCCAATTAACTTGCCTGAACGTGAGGAAAAGTTACGTCTTTAAAGAAATTTGATAACCATACATCCTGGCATATTAATGATACAATTTAATGAATCTAATTACCTTAGTCTTTCAGAAAATGACTGCTTAATGCAAAGAAAAACAGATGCTGAGCGACAAACGGTCAAATGGATCGACATGAACGTGCTGTTACAGAATAGATTAAATGGGTCCTCATGCATGTGAGCTACATATAACGTTACTACGTCGGTATAGCGAAACAACCCAATTTCGGATAATTCGAGAGGGTCACTAAATTGTATCAATATCAATAGCGGAGAGTCCGAATCAATAGATCATAGGTATGAATGTCATTCACTGTATAACATGCTCTAAAACTACCGCCGGATTTCAAATGGTTAAAATTAAGTCAGTCGGACACTCGTCTAGCAACGAAATCAGACTACCCCAAATGACAAGTACGCGATTCAACTACAACGCAGTGCGAGAGTGATCCTAACTGATCCGATTTAAAACTAGAATGGAGCAGACAGGCTGGTATCTGTATCTGATTCTCTACAAACCTATACAGTAAAGAAAATACATGCAGTAAGATATTCTCCTTGTTCTACAAGCTTGATTGACAATGGTAGTATGATATACAATAGTAAGATTTATTTCCCTTGAAAGGGGAGATATAGAGTCTGACATCAATTTTTGATGATAATCTGATCGGTTAAAAAATAACGAAAACAACAGATAAATTTCAAAGAATAGATTTCATCACTTTATTGACATAAACATGTGTATAACAAAATCATTAATTATTTGATTTTTTCTGAAAGATGTATTAATATACATATATTTGACTAGAATAATATCAATTAAACTGATTGTAAATAACAAACGACTGATTCTGAGTATAATAAACAGAACAATAAAACCTAACAAAAACATATTTCTGGAAACATTTACCTTCAAATATATTGCAAGTTAGGATTCCGCGCTATACCCTAAATATATTCATGCACTTAAGGAACATGTGAGTTTCCTTTTATACTTAATTTCTTACTTGTTTTTTATTTTATCAATATATGCATATGAACAAAATGCATTTCTACAGTCTTATGTTTTAAAAAAAATTTGTGAGAATTTTTGGCAAGAGTGAAATGAGGACATGTCCACAATTAATTTTGGTGAATGCTAACTCCTCCTCCTCCATCCCCCCCTCCCCCCCCCCACCCAAAATCTCCATCAAACCATCCACATCCAATCACCCTTGTCCCAGTCCCTTCCCCAACCAGTGAAAAAAGAAACTTTTGGCTTTTTGTTCTCGGTTCTGGTACAGGTAAAAAAATATTTAAAGAATACTTCTCCAATGGGCACAACTAGGGAACTAGAAAAAGATGTTTACAGATTTCCTTTAAAACATATTTAAAGTGATGGCTGCACAGAAACAGGTAGTAAAGTGAAGTAATTTGCTTTAGTTAATTTGATTCATTGACAGCAAACAGGAACATTGTGTTTACAAAGTCTCACTCATGACAACAAAGAGGAGATTTGTGTTTACAAAATCACAAAAGTTCCTGCCAGATATCTTGCACATACATGCACACAACATAATTATTCTTTTATTCAATATGCCTATCCACACAAACAAGAAGCTTAAATCCATTTCCCATCACTTTCCATTTACTATTTGTAAGTATATTAATAGAATGAAGTTCCCCATCCATTAACCAAATTAAGGGAGACTTCAGAAAAATACCTACTCAATTGGAGGACTTGGGTCACAAGATTTGTTAGACTCTGACCATTAAGAAAACGATCTTGTAGTTTTTCTTCAAATCATCAATTTCTTTTAGAAACAATGTCAAGGTACCGTATTGTAACCCTGCTAAAATACTAGTCACAAATTACTGCTTGGCTAGACAGCACTTCTCTTTAACTTGATGGGTTGAGTGTCAGACTAGTAAGCCAGAGGTATCGGATTTGAATCCTAGTTGAGGCATTCAAATGAATAATGACCTTTGTTACATTGGTACCCATGTAGGGACTCGCAAATAATACTTAGCCACACCTCCCCAGCATTACTATAATTCATGGAAACTCGAGGAAAAGTTATTTCCTGGAGTGGGAGTATGTAACCCTGGTGAAATAATAGTTGCAGTAAACCCCTCGGCTAGAGAGGACTTTTCTTCAGTGCGATCAGTTGAGCATCAGATTAGTAAGCCAAAGGTCTCAATTTCAAATCATAACAGAGGCATTGAAACAAACAATGACCTCTGTTACAATATGCTTGTAATATAATGACGCCTTCAAATCAGAATCAAATCTGGGGGCAATATCAAACAGGTTCTATTTTTTTCATATGTTTCAAATAAAAGTTTAAGAGGTAAACAATTTTTCAGACTGATAAATTAATAATAATGATTTAAATTTTCACCTGACAAAATCTTAATGAACAAATCAGCAGGTGAAATCTCTGAAGACAATTCCTTGTTCTTTGATCTTCCTTAACATAATCTATCATCTTAACAATAAAGAGACATAAGTTCTCTCCAATGATAAACATCATGGGTCTCTAATTTCCTGGTATTATTCAAGAAATTACTTTTGCATGGACACTTGATTTTATGGGTAAATATAACTTCAGTCTACTTGTAATTATTTGAAGTCGTTGGACATATGAATTCGTGGATAAAGAATGTAACAAAATCAAGGGAAAAAATCACCCACCAAAAATTAATGGTTTTACAGTATATATTGATTGAAGGAGTGTTTTTTTCTTGTATCTATAAATGTTTAATATGAAATCAGCTGACTAGTTTATGAATCTTATAATCTTCATCATGAACTTTTAATTTTGAAGGCCAAATCCCATTCTGAAGGCTAGCTCCACCAAAGTTTGTGGGGTTCCATCCTTGAAACACACATAAAGCTCTGTCTTTGATCTTTGTCGCCTGAAATGCAAAATTTTGAATTAACCATACATTTCATTTATAACGTTATACAACTGAAGGATATTTAAACCTATCATCTGAATCATGTTAGCTATAGGCACGTGTACAAGTTCAACTTCAAGTATCCTTTGCCCAAAAAGAATTTCATATCTCAGGCACCCATTAATTAAATTATCTTTAATCTTGTTCAATTGGTTGTTTAAATATATTCATAATTATTCTCTATCTGATGTCTGATAAATAATTACTTTATGTGGGTGCAGAAAGGATACTATAGTGTGTTTTGACTGATGGTTTAAATTTTCATGGTTTTAACACAAGGTTGATGAAAAAGGGATAATTTTTTTTTATCTAAGTCAGTTGATGGACTGCATGATTCCCTCGTTTAATTTTAATTCTTTTTTTGTGATTTTATCCCATCCCCTAAAATAATGAAAAATTAGAACCCCTGAAGAATGACAAATTTCCAGTGACTTGATACTTTTACTTACCCCACAACCCAGTAAGCCTCCTGGATTTTCTGGTCTGTGTCAGGCTGTGGTACCTGGAACAACACTCCCTCTTCACGGATATGATAGAAGCTTGGATCTGGATGGGACCGAATACGATAGTCATTCTCATGTTCCTCTCTCACGGAGTATTTCTGAAAATAAAGAGATGTTAATGTTGTGAAAGTCATCTTAAAGTTCCCTGAATGTCCATTCAAATTATTTCTAAAAACCATCCAGCTGTTCTTTGCACCAACATGTTTCATAAAGTTATTAAGGTAGGCCAAAATATAAAAGAGAAATTTTCCTAAAAGACAGGGTAAGCATATCAGTATAAAGATATACCTGGTAATTCATTACTGTATTTTCTATGTAGTATGGGATTAACAAATAACCTCTGATCCAAGGTGTGGGGGTAGGTTTATTATAAGACAATGAAATAGCAGTTTGTTTGTTATTCTTCTGAACAGCAGTAATTATGGATATGGGTGGGCTTACTAACAGGCATGTGCAACATTTCTCGGTCACTGAATAACAATATGCTCACCATCAACTTCAGCCTGTGTAGAAATCAATAGATTGTGAAACATCTGCTTAAATAAAAAAATACCTTGCGATATCTGTATTTGTCAAACATATGTTTGATCTGGGTACAGCAGAGGTGAAAATTGTGAGTGATCTCCTTCTCTAGCTCTTGTGCCCCCAATGTCGGACTGACAAATACTCCATCAATTTTGTCAATGTGAAGGAAATGGAGAAGACAATTTTCAGCACCAACAGTCAATCTGTCACCAAATTTGAAAAAAAAATATGTTATTTCAATATTGGAAAACATCTAACATCACTACGAATTTGATATTAAAATTAGAAATCTTAATTGAATGTACATTAAGTAGGTAAAGTTATGATAATTTTTATTGGTGGTCTTGCAGACATTAATAAACAAATTTCCATCCTTAAACAGAATCTATATCCATATGAAAGTTCTTAGTTACTTTATTTTCCTGCTCTTTAGGTCATCCTGTGGCAATTCGTTGCCATGGTTGTAGTCTACATGGAAAAGACGCATCTTTGTAGGTGTTCCTTTCTGAAATAAGCCGAAATATTTTTTCGTAATTTTGCAGCAAATATTCACATTCTACATGTCAAAAAATGAGCTAGGTATAGAGTGAAGTGTTATATATACATGTATATACAAATCCAAATAGCAGAAAAGTGAAAAATTCATTTTTGTACAATGATTTCATCAAGAAGCTGCGTGTTGTTGCCATACAGTCAAAGGAATTTCATATCACATGGTTTAGTGACCGAAGGTTCTTGCTTTGTTTATCCTAAATGTACAATAAGCCCAGGGGATCACAACATAACCTCTAAACACAAAGAGGATGTGCTTATTACAGAAATATATGCTAGCACCGGTTTGTCATACTGAAGGCATATGAGTGAGCCTATTTCAAGGCAAGTAACAGTTTCTTTTGCTTTTAGTACAGTATATTTTTCAAACAAGGCTCTAGGGGCCCCGCATCACTCACTTAGCTAATTCAGCTATTCAGCCACTTCATAAAGAATTTCCAATATGACAAACAATTCCTGATATAATTTCCTTATTGATTCCCGCCGTAGTGGTCAAACAGAGGTCAGATTTATTATTAAATAAAAATTGCTTCAGAACAAACTTTAACATTATCCTTGTATGGCAAAAGGACTTTTAAGAACTTACATTTACCCATTTGGGTCCACCCCTCTCGTATTAGGGGGCCAGGACGCATTGTTTATACAGAACTTAGTCCCCTTCTGACTAAATTTGGGCAATATCTAATCATTCCTAATGGGAAAGTCAGATTTTAAGGAATTTGCCAAATTTCCCCAATAGGGTCCCGCCCCTCGCACCCTAGGGGCCAGAATCCACTTTTTATATACAACTGATTCCGCTTCACCCCAGAATGCTTCAGACTAAATTTGGGAAATATCCATTCATTCCTACAGGAGGAGAAGTATTTTTAAGAATTTGTTCTATTTCCCCAATTAGGCCATGCCCCTCCTGCCAATATCCACTGTTTGTACAAAATTGATGCCCCTTTACCTAAACATGCTTCAGACCAAATTTGGGCAAAATCCAATCATTCCTACAGGAGGATTAGGATTTTAATGGACTTGCCAATTTTCCCCTTTTGGGCGCTGCCTCTCAGGCCCTGGAGGCCCAGACATATCATTTATACAAAAATGTTCCTCTTCCTTTATGGATCATTCTGACCAAATTTGGTCAAAATCCCCTCAGTGGTTCATGACTAGTAGCATTTTGGAAAAAAAGTTGACAGACGATGGCTGCCGTGCATCCCTATAGCTCACTTGGCTCTTGAGGCTAGGTAAGCTGAAAATAATTTAAAAAGAGATAAATTGTCTAGTCTAACAGCTCTACCTTAATACTGCTGCCACCACTGGAATTACTAGCAGAAGAGCCATCAGAGTGGAACGAATCTTTCCTGGTAAGGGTGTTTGTCTGTCTCCTCAGGGAACCAGAAAAGTCACCTTGTGGAAACATACACAGCAAAGTAAATATAAAATACACAGATATATAAATTGTATGAACAGACTGTGATTCATCCAGAACTTTGACTCTAATATATATTCTTTTCTTGAAAAGATTGGATTTGATCAAGACATCCAAAATATCTCCCTTTGTTATGATTGAAGCTGTACACCAATTATTTGATCTAGTGATAAAAACCCATTTTGCTGGCTATAAATAAAATCATGTATTACTTGTACTTTCTAAGTTTTTCTACGTTTCTAAGAGAAGGACTACAACTGTATTAAAACAAAACTTCTGAAAACTGACATGGAAGCTTATATCTTTACTAAATGAAAAGTAACGCCGTAACTTAATTACACAAGTCAAAAACAATCCTTCATTTTCAGTAGGAAAAGTTAAACCTATCCTGACTTGAAAGAGGAATGAAATTAATTTACCAGCAGTATTCTTGGCAGGTGAGGAAGGGCAGATAGCCTTATTCCCCATCGGACACACAAGGGTCTGAATAGCACAGCTGTAACTGAAAATGCAACACCAAGATATGAAAGTCAAGAAGCATTATCATATTTAACTATACTTAATGTTAAAATCCCTGAACTACAAAAGCTACATGTAACAGGACATGCTGATTAGTGATGCTACAACCATGTAGGACTGGTTAACAACGTGATGGAAGATCAGCTTCAGGCTTTTATCACCTACATACCCAGTCATCTTTAATATTAGTGCAACATGTAGCACTATATTTTTGTAAGTCCAGTCTGAATGTGTAACAGTGAAATAGCCAGAAATGCATGTAGAAGATATACTGGTTTGTCAATTTTTTGTCCAAATTTTATTTCAACTCATCATTTCCTCAAATGGACATGTATAGGACTTAAGATCTTAAAAAGAAATTATGGTCTATGATACAAGCTAATAATAATGGACAGAGGATGATAGAAGGCTCAGGGTGTCTAGTGTTCGAAGGTGAGCAAGTGATTGCATGATCAGGGATCAATCTATGTTTATTTTACAGTGTATTGAGTAGTCTCCCCTAGCAGCTAAAGTTATCCTACTGCTGAATGTTCCCATTGAATCTTACAATATATTTCCCTGTTTTACATCAATTACTGTTTATCTCTTTGAATTTTCCTTATTTCAACAACAAGAGGCCTTAAAGGTCTTTACAGTTACTTGGGTCACAATGCTTCTTGTAACATGTCATAGAAATGATTTTGTTAAAAAAAGTTATTTAACTTTAACTATATTGTACACATAATACAAATGTAAGCTGTGTATACGTAATCTGCTGTTTCATTCCTAGTAATTCTTGATCTTTCCAGCGAACTGACCTTGTATCACAGTGAGCAGGGAGACCAAGGGCCACAATCTGCATCAGCGTAGCACGACACTGGTCTATATAAAACGGATCAGGCATACAGAGGGCAGGAAGTCTGGAAATAAGATTGAGATAAATAATTTAAAATTGTATTTAAAATATGTAATAAATTATATATGACTAAATAATTTAAATCAAAGTCAAAGGAGATGAGAATCAACACAAAATTTTCCTATGAAATTTGGAATTTTTTTTTTGCATGTGGGAGAATGTTTTAATATTCAAATAGCTATCAAAAACGAGCTGAACTCTACTTACTTTGTAGTGCATCCTCCTGCCTCTAACAGTACACAAAGCAGGCTATGTTTCTGTCAACAAAAAACAAAAACTCTCATTTAATTTCAGTATCAAGTGTTCATTATCAGAATATTAATAAATATGTTTTACATCAGGGTAGGTAAATACTTTTTAAGTTTTCTGTGATTCAGGTTTGACTAAGGACAAGCAAAGTATTAAATTTGTTTCTTTTCAGCTTTTTGACATGATATACAGGAAGTAAGTTGTTATTTCAGTTTTTGAGTTTAGGGGAAGGAGAGTTTTTTGTATAACCTTTTAATTTGTTATTCCAAAAGTGTAAAATAGCAAACCTTAGATTTCAACTTTTAATTCTTTCCGAATATAGACAGCCAAAGATGCCTAAAAAGACAATCTATAAAGGAAACCTCTCTATAGAGGCCACTTTTTTTCGCTTATGGTGCAATACAATTGATGGTGGTTTTGTATGAAGATAACCTCACATAAGAAACCATATAATTTTGAAAGGCCTTTATAGACAGGTTTGTACTTTTGGAATGACAAGAGATATAGTAATATTAGACTGTTGGTGAACTAAGTAAATACTGGCTACCATTATGACATGCACATTTTCTGTGTGGAGATAGAAGGATGAACCATACACCACAGAGCTCCAATATCTCCTCTCCACATTGTTCAACTTCAGCATATTTAGGTTAATCAATGATCAATGGGGAGTAACTCTTATATTTATCTGTTCAGTTCCCAGCCCAAACCAAATCAAGATGAAAATGGCCACGATTCCTCCTATCTGCTAGTGTTGAGAGTTTCAAACTCAATCTCGATTAAAAACAGTCAAACTTGCCTATCATGCCACCTTTATAAAAAGGCCAATTCTTCTATTCCCTTGACTATCCAGTAGCTTTTACAGACAGGTTTGACTGCATACTCATTTCTTTCATTACACATTCAAGTAAATCTGAACTTTATTATAGAATATGGCAAATATTGATGTTTTAGTTTAAATATTTATCAAAATTTTCAAAAATATTACAACAACATACATCACATTTGGGATAGAAAAATAAACTAGCTTGAACTAATTCCTTTCCCTTGTCTTAGTGCAGAAGAATTTGGTATTTTTTCCACAAAGGAAATAGAATGCAAATCAGGATATGAAGACTTCTAATATATATCAACAATTCAGTCAATGTGGGAGGTTCCAGTACAGCGCATTGTACTTACATATCCAACGATGAGCCAGAACCAGCGAGCTGTGACCGGTTCTGAGTAGCCAAACATCTGTTCTTCACCGAGGTCATACCACTGGCGTGTTGGATGGACTTCCCGCCAGACAACAAGTTGATCCATCCCTTCCTGGCCACTAAGGGCCAGTAAGTTATGGTACCGCAAGTAGAGGTAGAGGTCATGTAGGTCATTCTTTGGCAGGTGATTGCACAATAATTGGCCCTGATAAATAGGAATGGATAAAAACCTGTCTTAAAGGACCACCCTAATGAAAGAGATCTAAAAAAACTTAATCCATGTTTATTGCAAAACATTATACTTACTATATGTATGATAATTTGGTATGGTTGTCATCTATAATAACAACCTTTCTTAACAGACCACTTGTTTAAGACTACCTCTACAGAGAGACCACTTTTAATCCAAGTTCTAAGACTGCCTCTCTAGGGAAACAACTTCTCTTAAGTGAACTTCTTCAGAAAGACTGTCTCATGAGGAGACTACCTCTCTACAAAGACCAACTCAAAAAGACTGATCTTTCCAATCTATAAAATATAATCCTGCTTCTTTCTGGAAAGACAATTTGTCATTAAGACTCCAAATTTTTAAAGGCATTAGATATCATTAAAATATCAAAAATATAACACTGCCAAATCCTATATTTTTGAGAGGTTCCATTTTCATGTTTTTCGAAAAATTATAGAATTTTATGAACATCTGATTTTGAAGATTATAGCACAATCAGCCTACTTATACTAACTTTAACAGTTTATAGGCATACGGATTTGTGGATAGTGAGTACCCTTGAAATCAATGAAAATAAATCACCCACAAAATTAATGATTTATCATCCTGCAACTGGCACTGCCATTGTCGGAATACACCTGCCACATTTATTTTTACAGTATTTGGCAGTGACGGAAAACTTCTTTATTTAAGCATGTGCTGGAATTTGACAGAATTACTCTCTTAATTTACTTAAACATTATGTTTAGAGATATAAAAAGTTGATGAAATAGATGATTTTACAAGATGTAATGAACAAGTTGATGTATGAAATTCATAAAATCGCTGTAATATCCAATGAAGCTTGGAACTATGTTTTGGCACATGCCGAGCAGTTATTTTGGCATTCATCATCAGGCAAAAATTTAGTCTAACATCAATGTCAGGCAAACAGATTGAACAACAAATCTGTTTGTATAAATAGAATACATGGTCAGAGTCTTAAAATATAAGCTGTATTTTGGCGGCTCGGGGCACTTTCTTTACCGTCACCAAAATACACCTTATATTTTAAGACGCTGACCATGTATTCTCAATAAAGTGGATCTGAATTAGGTGTGACATACCTTGTAAAATAAACATGATCCTAAGAGGGTATAAGATCTTCTACAACCATAGAAACTGTCAGACTGAAAAAACATAATATTTAATATAATTTAATCGATTAATCAATATCTAATATCCTGAATTTTACAAATAAGATCCTCATCAAATTAAATTAATAAGCACTTCTATTTTAATAGAATTCAATCAATTAATCAGTATGTTTTGGCTTTTAATAACACTTCACAATTCAATGTATTAAAATGTTAAAAAAAAAGTTTTCAAAACTGACATCATTATCAACTTTTATACTGTAAAATTGAATACCATGAGTGTTTCTGGGAAAGGTAAGCTTGTGCTTAGTACAACAAATATTGAATCATGTTCAGTATACTCACCATGTCGAAAAAATCTGCAGCTTCAAAACTGTTGACTATTTTTTCTATTTTATCCTGAAAATTGAACACATTATGATACAAAGTCGAATGCGTAATGCACGTGTTTTGAGAAATATTAACACACATCTGTATTTACAGATTGAATAGGATAATGAAAACTACTTGAATTATTTTATCTGAGACTATTTATTGAAGCCTTCCATCAAAAGTCATCATCTATTTATCGACAAACACATAACATATAATCATGGTTTCTCTATCTAATCCATGTTTAAGTGAACATTTTTGGCTTCTTCAGATCATTGAGATATATATATATATATGAAAACACATATGGTCTACTCCGTTGTGTTCCAGGTCTGCTGATTTTTGGTATGACATTATTTTGCCGACTGTTACAAGGTACTTGCCATACATATCTCACTATTAAAACACGTCCTCGATACTGCAGGATTATGCTCACTATCTGACTCCGCACCCCTTGAACATTTCATGGCAAACTTAAGGGTACCGGTACAAGTGAAGTTATTTGAATGATCTAGAGCAGGTTTTGGGAGAAAACAACTGACCAATCACAGACACACTGCTTCTTTGAAATTTACAACAGAGCGAGTGAAACTTCAAAGCCAGTTTAACATAACATTAAGCTTTACCAATAACCACCAAAATCTAATCAGGTATTGACCTCAGCAGTATGGTGCTATGGTGTGAATATGCACCAAATCATTTCAGGGGTTCATATTTTGTATACATTATTACAGATGCATGGACACCCACATTGGCTCACCCACAGGCACAGCTGTACACACAAAGTGATTGCTATAAACTTACATACATGAGGGGTATAATAATAGATGAAGAAACAAATCTACCTTAAAACTAGTGTAAAGAGGTAAATATTGCACATTGCTGAAACAGCTGAGGCATTTTGTAGCACCATATCCCAAAGAGTGGTTGGAGTGTGTGTGGGACTTCAGCATACACACTCCCAAACAGTGGTGGAAAAGAGAAAAGAAACTGTCCAGCTCCTGGATGTGATCATTGGAGGAAAAGGCCTCAGCCACTGACCCATACTGGACACGCAGAATCCGTACTATGTCTTCTACTAAAGGCGGCAGTAATGCTGAAATTATTCTACAATAAAAAGGAACACGATGAATTAAAATGTCATTATGTATACCGCCATACAATGTCACTGAAAGCAGACCAGTTTTATACCGCCATACAATGTCACTGAAAGCAGACCAGTTTTAAATAATTGAAATAATAATACCATATACTGGTGTTTTCTTATCACCGATTTCTAATAAAACAAGGATTTTTGAAGTAAAGGATTTAAGATACAAAGATTATTCATGAATTGTTCATGTTATATTTAATTTATAGAAAAAGTTCAACAAGTTTGTATTACATGAATTTTTAAAGTTCAGATAGGTACTTTAAACATCCAATAGACACTGTTGACTGAAACCTGATAGTTCTTGAAAATAATGAAAACCTTCTAATTTATATTCCTATAAGAAATGGGAAATCTGATATGGATTACAACCACTTAACTTTGATTTACAGTTATCTATTGAATTTGTGATGTCACAATTAATCATGTTTATTTATTGATATAAACTCTTCTTAAATAAGGGAGACCTTTTAGCAGGTCCCATTATTGTTTACAATAGTTAAGCATCTTTTTATGTAAGTCAAAATACATTATATGTACATGACCCTTAATTTAGACCCAAATAATCAAATCTCATTTTGGAGAGAAAACATCCAAATACACTAAAGAGTTTATAGAAAGTCCTGTAGTATATAAATCAATACTAGTTCTTTCCCAAACGGTTTTGATGTGACATTTTAAAACATGTCTTGACATACTTTTTGGCTGGATACATAACAAGCAACAGCCCAGTCTCTTCTTTGTGGTAACTGATATGGATTATCTCCCCTTCATGACGAATTGTTGTTCTACAAGAAAAAGAATGAAAGATATATCAACGTAATTTGTTTTATCACAGATTTAGATATGCATGTATGCAGTAAAAAATGGTCAGAACAAATTTGACATTGTATAATGACCATATTCCAATATAAATATACAACAATTGAATGATGGTATTTATTACTTTGACTCAATATAACTTGAAATCAATCATATTTTTGCTTTCTGGCCGTTTTCCTTTTTTTTTTTTTTTTTGTGTGTGGTTTTTAGAATTTTTTTAACAAAAAAAAAGACTCATAAACAAATACATCTTTGTCCATTGAATGGAAATGAAGATAAAAATGTTTTATTGTATATGTCATTCATTTGGAAATTACAGATACCTTCAATCAGGTGTGCTCTATTGTTGCTAAAAGAGCTTCAGATAATATATTTGTAAATATGATACAATGTATTACCTTTTGACAGTTGATTCTGAAATTTCTGTTAAAAGTTGATGAATGGTGACAAAACATCCCCGCAGATTTGGGAGAAGATCATGATTACTATCAGCTGGAAACCTATACAGAATATCTTCCTGTGGAATAAAAAAGAAATTCATATTTGAATGACAAGTATAAATTGCAGGTGCACAGTTGGAGAAACCCTACAGACATCAGTATATGCATATCAGTCATTATTGTCAAATTCTCTATCAGAAAACATGTGTTTTAGTTTAAAATTAATTAGCCATTGAAAAAGTAAACTTTGGAAAACTATAAAAAATTTAATAAGTCTGTAACAATTTACTTACATCACGGACATTCTCCTCAGATTTCAATTTTTCTGTGTCCAGGTAAACAATTGAGTACTGAGTTATCTCCCCTGGTTCAGACTGTTCATTGTCTTCAAAACAGAGTCCAGTAACAAGTCTGACTAAAGATTCCTCATCAGTTGACACTTTCTCCTTTACTAGGACTGGTACAGTCGCTGACCTTGACACATCTTGTAATACGATCCGCACCTGATGAAAAAAACACCCCTGATTAAAAAAACGGACAATATTTGATAGATAATCTACTTGTAAACATTGCTACTTCTGTTGATAGCAAACTGGTGCTTTAGATAAGATCTTTACATATGATTGAATAATGTTTGAAAAAAATCAAACCTGTTTGATATTATTTTGATATGTTGTTAAATGTCCGCATGGTAACATTATACTGACAACTATCAAACCAGTTGTTCTCCCATGTATGTGAGTTGAGAGGATGTGTGGGAGGCTGTGATATGTTCAGGTAAGGCTCTTGTAAGGCTCTTGTGATAGTGATCTATCGAAAATTGGAATAATTAAAACTGAAATGAAGTTTAGAAACAATTATCTTGATATTTGTGTTTTTGACAATAGAACAAAATCAGCAGAAACTTTCTATGCCTGCATCCAGTTTCATGCTTTATTTTCCAAAAACTGTTGGGGGGATTTTACTGGTGAGTCCAGAGCATCATTGACCAAATTCTAATGAGTCCATGTACAGAGAAATATAATGGGGTCTCGAAATTTCAGAGCATGAGGTCTGGACTCAAATGTGAGTTCCACAAATCACTGATCTTCTGAATTGAATAAGAATGTAGTGTTGTTACAATATATTATTTTTGTACACAGGAAAAAGGATGACTTAGTATGGGATATCCATGGAGTTAATTGTCCACTTATTTCTATGGAATTCCGTACATTATCATAATCAAAATCTATGGATTTGTATCATATAACCTGCCAAGAATTTTTTTATTTATAAAAGACATCCATAATTGATATGAAATCATTGGAAAATATAGCATGAATTCCATAGAATGTTCCAGAACTTGAAAAGAAATTTGGTATTTCAAGTTTGCATTAATAGCGAGCATGAATGCCGAGCTATCAATTCATGTTAAGTTTTTAATCATCTCTAGTTGGAATGTATACTAATAATGAAAGTCGACTGAAAGCTATTAAATGCTGCCTCATTGGTTGAATACTGGAGATTCTCTCCTAAATATACCTGTTTGCTATCTAGGATGCTGGTGAATACATCATCAATGTTGCCCCAGGTGACTTCACGCCCATTCACTAGACGCAAACAATCTCCTACAATACAAAGTTAAAGACTATGTCATCCTGTATTATTAAGTAAATTGTGACAAACAAAATATATTCAACATATCTGTGACAATAAAGTAAATAGTTTTTGAATATATCAGGTATAAGAATCCTTATTCAAATAAATGTTTGGGACTTGAATAAGTGCCTTATGATTTTTTCCCCCAATTTGCAAACTTGCCCTGTTGAGATATTTCATAAATCATGTATCTTAAAACTTGGATAAAGAACTACAAATTATGAACGAAGGCATAAGTAGCATCAATAATCTCGAAGGATCAAACTACAAATCAACATCCTTCTTATCTAAATCATCAAAACAGACTTAAATGTTGTTGCAAAATTCAGGTGTCCAAATTGCCACTACACTTACAAAGAGATGATTTTCCCCCCTTAGTAATTACCTATATGAATATTGGACTGTTTTGATGCAGGTCCATCTCGTACAAATCCTCGAACACATAATCTTGAACCATTTCCATTCGCTTTTTTAGCACCAGATTGAAAATGTCCTGGCACTATTCCAAGTAAACTTTTACACAAAGCTCTGCCAACATGGCCCACCTTCCTAGACTTATCCACAGATGTCACTTTGGAATTCTGTAAATTTATTTTCAAACTTACTTCCCTTATATTTTCCATATTATGAAAGTCAATAACGTCACTATTATCCTCTATTGCACATGTACACACTGGATCTGGTTCATAAGTCAAACCATTTCTGAAAACCAAACTGTTTAATTTTGAGTTCTGTCTCTGTTTGATTGATTTTCTGCCATTGTTCCTATTATGAATACTTTCTGAAAATAATGTTGAGGTAGAGAGTATAGAATCGTCATTCCTCTGGGGTGGTCGTGATAGAGTGTCTATCTCATTGTCTGTTCCATAACCAGTATCATCTGTGGAAAATCCATTGTGTGCTGCTCCACACACACAAAGTTGTGCATTAAATGATTTGTTTGGCTGTTCAGCTTCCGGTCTGACTTCTAGGTACACAACATGTCCTTTACTGTCTGCTCGAGATGTCCAAAAAGAGGATGCATCTTTATAAACACTGAAATTAATCAAAATTTTTCAGAATTAGATGAGATTACACTTTTGATATTTAATAGTTTTATAGGGGTGTATTCTGCTAACCAAAACAATAAAACAATTGGTAGGTATTATGATTTTATGCAACATGTTGATAAAATTTCATAAAGCAAGTAAGCTAAAATTTCTATTTCTGGTTTTGTTAAAGATGACTATAGGTGTTTTGTACAGCAGTGTCATCAACCTCTGATCATAACCTTTCAAAATCAAGGGTGACAGGGGATTTTATAGGGTTATGTAGGGAAAAGACCTTATAATCAATTCCATCTTTTTGACTATATAAGGACAAAAATTTAATTTTGAAATTTTTATATATTGTCAGGTATGTAATGAAATATCAGGCAACTTTAGGTGGCATTTTTCAGGATCTGAGTTGGTCATGGTATGGTCAGTAGTATGTTATCTTGATGAAATCAGAGAGTTGATGTCACTCTGTACATTATTCTAAAAAGTAACTATTTTGAACATAAAGAAATACATGTACAGGCAAGCACACTCGCTTGAATATTCTGAAAAAGTGCAGGTAAATGCAAACACATTTATGGTGCATGTATGGCAAAACTTTATCCTTTTTCAGTTTTGATATTTCAATCCAAATTTGATAAAGAAAAAAAAGTTTCAGTGATTGCTAAGGACTATTGGAAGATATACCGGGTATTGACAATATAAATTTACAAAGTTTTCTTTCAAACGTGAAAGGAAGTAAATGGACATAAACTGGTTTTAAAATGTCCTGTCTCATATTGTTTTATATAAGGTAGAAACTCGAGCACATCTAATACGGGGTAGTATACGATTACTTTTGCAATAAACCAGAGAGAGATACATACAGTGTATGCCAATTTTATAGGATCAGGTAAAGCGTGCGTGCTCTCAGCAAGTTAGCAAAACGAATCGATCTCATTTTTGACACAGTCCTAACTTCGCCACAGAATGATTAAACACCAAAATATGGGTCAATGCTGCAGAAAAAATATCAAGCGAGTTAAAAAATCATTATGACAGTTGGCAACAACACGATATACCTATATGAACATCCCCACCATTTTCCAACTTTCACTTTCAATTTACTTCCGCTTTAAGCTGACTACTAAAGAAAACCGGATCAAACCCGGTTGTCCGGATAAAGACAGCAAAAATTCGTACAAATGTTTACATATACAGGTACAATTACTAGCAAATAAGCAGTATTAATATATGCTTGTACATGTGACGATGGTTGTGTTGATAATGTAAAATAAATAAATAAATAACACCAAAAGGAGGAAGAAAGAAATAAAGAAAGAAAAAACATTTACAAGTTTATGCTGAAATCCTTAAATTGGATGAAAACTGAAACCGTGCTGCCCATGGATTCTTAGTCTTAGTTAATTTAAAAAAAAAATCGTTAACAAATGTCTAAACTATTCATAACTTTTTTATTACCAAAATGTCTGTTTATTTACACTGTATACAGAGGTGTTAGAAAATTACAGGCACGGCGTACTCCATTCTACACGTAATCAGTTTTTCGGGAAGTTTATTGCCTTCACTTCACAAATATTAAAGTCTTGCTCTCTTAGACGACAAACGTTTTTAGAAATTAAATTAAGTGTGAATTATTGACGCAGGTGGAATAATAGCAAACGTAATAAAATGCCATAACATAGCAATTTGTATACAATGCTGTAAACGATGTCCACAGCCTACAAATATGCCGTAATCCAGGATAATCCCTAGAAATAAACACAAGCTGTTGTAGCACAACCCGAGGTAGACTGGCCGTTTAAGTGATCACCAGAGAGAGCCTTTATTTAAAACGGTACTTATCATTGGTCGGTACAGGAATTGACAAGTATCATTGTCTGACACGTTTTGTAAATATCAGAATCAATATTACGAAAGTCTTGTTATCTTAAGATTTTGTTAAAAAAGATTGACGAAATAAAGCGCTGTTTTCGATATAGAAATACCAAAGTAAACGTCAATATGTTTAAGCCATTTATTACTTATGTGCCATGGATGAAAACAGATAACAAGAAATTGAAAATGCAAATGTCCTTTATCTTTATTAAATATCTAATATATGTTTTTTCTTTCTTTTTATCAAATTAACCATACCAATGGACCATGCCATACTTTTTAGATAAGTGGAATACATTATTATAACGAACTGTATTGTAGGTTTTTTTTAATGAACTGGTCATTTCATTCAATTATGTGTCATAGTATAAGCAATATTATCAAAAACAAAATACTATAAAGTTAATTGGTATTCGACTTATCTTGTTATTTGTTGGTTTTCCTTCTACCAAGTTGAAATTGGGCGAAATTTTTACTCTATATACTAGTAAATCCTTTAGTCAGCACTCTCAGCCCTCAATAACATGCATTTCAAATCGCTTAAGGTTATATGCTACATCACGTTGTTTTTATGAGTTGTCTCCCTTGTTTGTGTGTGTGTGTGTTTGTGTGTGTGAGGGTGTGGGTGTGTGTGTGTGTCTGGGAGGGGAGGGGGGTATACAAATTGTCATTAATCAGATTTCTTTTCAAAAGATATAATTAAGTCATTATTTAAAGAAATATTTAAAATATATTTCATTAAACCGATATTAACTTAAATGACAATGAATAGAAATACTTTGATAGGAAGGATTGTTTATCATTCCAGATTAAAAAAATCATTCTTAAATTTTTGATTATATATACATATATTTTTGTCAAAACTGCTCTAACGATTTATTATCAGATCGTGACTATCGTAACTTTATCCCCGTAAACACAGGTCTTATTTACAATATTATCGCAAGTTGAGTATTCTTGGTAAATAAAACTTCAAAAGATGGTCAGAGCTGTATTTGACATGATATGCTATCTTGGTAAGTACATAGATTACCTATGATATATGTGTGTGGTGGGTGACCTCTAAGCCTTAAAGTAATGATAACCGCCTATTGATTATTCTCTGTATGTTTAATTCACTTCCCCAAGTTTTTCACGTCCTATCGGGTAAATGTCAAGGGCTGGGTTATATGTATATAGGTACATGTATATAAACAACACTTAACTACATCACTGTTCCGCTTATCAAAGAACAATTTCCTCTATTAGTAAGGTAATTTCCTATTCATAAAGGCAAGTCGGTGGTTCTGGTTTCAAATGCTAATAAAGCTGTTCGCGTGTAATTTACCATTAAAATTGGTCTTAAACAAAACATTCACAACAGATAATCGCTTTTTCGGGAAACGTATTATCGCTTCTACTGTTCTTTTATTACAGAAAGTACAATCAGGGAAATGAAACCATTAAAAAACTAAAAACAAGAATATGGAGAAACCTACAAACGAAACAATTAGGAAACATTTCAGGTAGATTCCATATAATATTCCATGAACTACTCCTGGAAGTTAAGGAACTATGTCAAATTCAAGAACGTAATGTTCACAAAGAGAGGACAGTCACAAAGGAAATAATCTACAAGATTACCATTGATTATAATTGATAATTTGTTAATACCAAAAGATCATCTTTAAAATACAGTATCTCTTTGACCCCGTGCTTCACCAAGTGATATAACGTATACGTATCTAGTGTTGGAGGACAGAAGGTCAGGAATAATGAAACCAAACACCATAGCCTAACACCATAAGCGGGAAATGGTGGACCGTTACCACAAAAAAAGGGGAAATTAATGTTTCACGGGAAAATCATAAACATCATGCATTACAACATAATAACCAAAGAAATTTTAATACAAATTATAATAGAATTCAGAAATACCTAATTATTGATTTTTTTCCCCGGTTTTCTGGCATGATCCCAACAGAAACACATTTGCTACTTTTTTGGTTTTCAAAATTGTATGTTGATGAATAAGAGCATTTTATCTAATGTAGCATAAATAACGACCGACATAGTAATAATTAATAGGTCATAGTTACACTTTTAACAACACATACCCACACATTTTACGGTCGATTGAATTTGTAAAAGGAAGTATTGTATAAAATTATTCAGGACTGTAAGACGAAGAATATTAAAATCACAGTCGTTTGCACTATCTTCTTACCTATTTGAAAGAATTGTCTGTATGCTGTCAAAATCATTCCCTGCGGATGTCTTTGATATTGGAACCCGTAGTCCAAACATGGCAGTGTTTTAATACCCACCATCGGGTTTCCAGATTTAAATTTCCGTGCGCTCCAGATATTCAATAGCACAAAAAGATCCACAACTGTTTGTATTACAGTACTTCCATCTTCAAATATCCACAGATAATGATGCTAAAATCCAGGATATGCCCTTGTGTCTGAAAATGAAATTATATCATTTAAAACAAATGTATATAAGTTTTTTTATCCCCATATAAACGCACATCTCTAATAAGCTACTGATAACCCAAATAGTGGTTTCGTCCAAATGTTTACTTTAACAATTTGTCAACATTTACTTTAAATGTGTGAGGTCTGTTAAAGTTAAGCATGTGAGATATGTACAAACCACGGTTTTAGTTACTGAAATTTAATCAAATGAATATATAATGAAGTTTAGGGTAAGGAAAGGTGAAATGCGGTAGGGAGGATGGAAGAGGACAATGAAGCGGTCGAATTTTTCATTTTTGTATTTTTTTTCTTTCTTGGTATACGTGTTGTCTTGTATGTTAACTGTAATTTTCTTTCTTTTTTTAGTCGCAAATTCTGATTTATCTTTTGTCTGCTTGTGCTTGGATGGGAAGAGGAGGGGTATATTACGTGATACAGCTGGGGATGGGCGACGAAATATCGTATATTATACAGCTTAAAAAACAAGAAATTATCACCAAACACAAGACACAAGAATTGATAATTTTGAATTGCAAAGCAAAACTTAAACTAATTCAGGAAAAAATTGCTAGAAGTAGTGTGCGACCTGACATACAGGGTCATAAAGATTACCAAATACGGTTCTAGAAAAAACGAAACAATCTGACGCTACTTTGTATGGAAAAGCACTTCCACACACCCATCCGTCTGCTCTGATATATAATATAGTAACAAAATACAGCACTAAACTAGGCTGGCGGACAGAAGAACTCCATAATTCTAATGTAACACAAACGCAATTAGCGAGGGGTTGTCGAGTTCTATCAACTGTTTAAAACATCTTAATACACAACCAATAAAAATGGTAACACGAGTACTTCACAAAATTAGAAATGAACATCTTTATTTACTTTTCGCGCTGTCATTTCAGAATTAAGTGACATTTATGTGTCGCGGACAATGTTTGACAAATTCACAGCTCCTTACTAAGCAAATTAGATGTACCTTTAGCGAATAAGTACTTCACACATTGCCTATAGTATTTAACAAAGGCTAATAATGATGGCTACTTAAAGAGAAGTATTTACTCCTAACACCCTGTGTGAGAATATTTTTAAATATTGATGTGAATAAACAATGAAAATGAAAACAAAAGGAGAGTATTTCTTATAGAGAATGGTTCGAGGACGTGTTTTATTTTACGTACCATGCCGGGTAATGAACTAATGACAATTTGAAATACTTCAACCAGTAATCGCCTTTCCCTTGCCCTCCCGCTGTCCCTCCCCCATCAGATTGTTGTATATTAAGGAGCATGTTCTCATGTTAACTCATTAAAGTCTGACTATATATTAAATGTGTACACAAATCTGTCAATCGAATTCCTTTTGTAACTGTTACACCGAACAGATATTTATAAACAATGATGTTTATATATAAATATAAGATATATATTAAATGTTTTAAACATGGACTTGTTTAATTAATATATGTCAAATGATATAAAAGAATAAAACATATTAAAATGTCAATAGTGATTACCAGACATTTATGTGTTTTGTACATAGACTTTGTATTTGAAAATAATCAATCGTAAATTTTTGTATAACAGTTTTTATTGTAATTTAAGATAATGACGTTTGAAGTAAATTCGTTATTAAACATTCAATAATTATTGACATACATCAAATTTATCTCAATGATAGGTAATAATATACGAAAGTAAATAAACAGAAAAATAAATAACAGAAAAATAGATAAATGAATAAATTGATAAATAAATAAAGAAATTTGCTCAAATGTTTAACTTTCGGAATGTATAATCAAAAGTAACGTTTTACAAAATGTAAACACTAACTTACCTTGTTTGTACCGTCCTATGTTATCATTTAAAACACGAACTGAAGCATAACAATCCTGTACGTGTTACAATGTACAACAAGAATACACAGTACAATCTTACTCCTATCAAACTTAACAGAATTTGGTCATAGTATGTAAATCCGCACTGAAGTCCATCCAATGTCCGGATTAATTGTCAGTACATGTACGTAGGACAGAATTCGGCCACATGTACATGTTGGTTCATTACTGGCATTATCAAGGGAACACTTACACTAATCTGAAAGACAGGTAAATTTAAATTTCCATATCTATCGTTTGACAGCACCTTGCATACCGAGGTATATTGGGGTGGCCAAATTAAACAATAGCTTTCACTATTAAACTTTGGTCCACATTCACAAACAACGTTCAACGTATAGCTTTTAAACCATTACAAATATGATCCGTCTAATCCTGTAATTATTTCACATATCTTGATACTTAAGAAAAACCAAACACTCTCTCATTTGAGTGTATACTGTACAGCCAACCCGCTGAACTCAATTGTTGAAAAGCATTAACTGTCGGCCACCGGATATTTATAACATTAATACAAATTGTCATGTGTTTAGCTTTAATGCGGAATGCCGAGTTGGTGGGAGTATCTGCTTAAGTCTATATCACAATATAAAATACTATTAGAGGAATATTTAAACGGACAGGCATCGAAACGTATAATTAACAATTTAATCGGATGATGCGTTACGTTGAAATTACGTATAAATCTGTAGTTTGTCCACCATTACCCAGTCCGTTCACGAAATGGATAATTATCACGGATATATATATATTCATGTATATACATACCACTACTCTTATTACTAAGAAACAGGTAGGAAATACATTTGTTCTATCATGAAGGAATGTAATTGCTGGAGATATATAGCGAAATACTGAATCACACACACACACACACACACACACACACACACACACACACACACACACACACACACACACACCACCACACAAAAACACACCCCCACACACACACCCTCACACACACAAACACCCGCCCCCCCCCCCACACACACACACACACACAACCACCACCACCACCACCACACACACATCTCACACACACACAAACACACCCTCACACACACACGCACATACACACACATATACATTATAATGTAGTTTTGAAAATGTTTTAATATCCAGTATGTGTAATTAAACCAAGAATATGGATAAACGCATATCAATAAGATATTTTGTGCACGAGTAAACTATTTAAGGCACTAATTGGTAAGTATTGACTAAAATTAACTAAATTAGAAATTAACGATTTAATAAACTTATAGATACTCGTATCTTATATTTACGTAAGACGTTAGTTAATTAAACTATTAAAAAAACAATTATTTCAATTTCAGATTTACATCTTTATCACTACTTGTTCTCAATTAAAAAAAAGACCCCTTCAATTTCCTAATAAGCAGGCTAATTTCAACGAAAAACGGAATGTTTTTACTGGCAAGACAATCGTCTGACGTCATACGTTGATGACATCACAGTTGCGTTATTTACACGTGTTTCAGACAATATTTACGAAGATATCTTTTTGCAATGTGGGACTAGCTAATTGTGTAATGATTTTATGTCCAGTGTGTACAGCCGTTTAGAAATTTACCTCCAATATATTCATAGACTTTGTTTGAGAGAATGTTTGAAATACGAGAACATATGAATTTGTCAGACAATGCGTCCACAAGTTTGTTTAACACAAGTAAGATGATGCTAGGTCGCTGTATACACTATATAAAGTGGTTGTCCTTCCGCCGGGCAAAACAACACGATATACATACAAATATTGTATAACTCCCGAGTACGTCTACCTCGAAGTTCGGTCCATTAAACTGAAGACATTTACTTTCCCTGTAAGCTTATTTTCTTTTAATTATTTCCGAATTTCATGTATAGCTGAAGGAAAACGTGACAAAATTAGCGAAAAGTTCAACCGCCAAGATAAATAAATGTTTTAAAACCTGGCATGTAATCAGACATATTTGAAGTATGTATGTTAAGTACTTAAGATATTGAAAGATTAAACTAAATACCTATCAGTAATTAAGAATCGTTAGCATTTCTAATAAATTACCTTAATTTAGTTCTATTTACGAATGAAAGTAAGTACGTTCAGGTTGTCTGCTTTAAACAAGCCATATAAATTTCAAGATGAACATTTTTGTTTTAAGTTTATATACTTAAAACCTATTAGTGTTTCACCTGAGATCTTTCAACACATAAATATGTATAAATCCTTTCACAAGCTTAAACAATTTGCCTAGCGTCAGCAGATTGATGCATTGTAAGCATTTTCTAAGCGTTATCTTACAGGAAAAAACATTACATGAAATTAACGTAAAAAAAAGGACAAATGAGGTCAAAATAACAACAAACAAGGATAATTGAGGCCTTAGCGTTAATAAACGAGGACAAAAGAGGTCATGACCACATTGTACAAGGATAAATGAGGCTTTGCATCGACAAACAGGGATAGATGAGGCCATATCGTCAACAAACAAGGTTAAATTATTCCATACTGCAAAGACAAAAGACATCATTGTATAACAGAATTTACTATTGAACTAACAAGGAATACATCGATCACAGAATTACTGTGAGACGAATAAGCGAAATACACTAAATTTTGAACAAAAATTGTTCAAAATGTTCTATCACACAAAAACAAAAATATGTTAAATATACTATACGTCAAAGCACTTCGGCATAGGCCAGATTGTACCGATTTAATGTTACATTGCATCGCACCGTAACGACAAACATAAACACAACTTTAACACAAGACCACAGCATAGACAATGCCGTTAACGTATATCAATGTATGCGTAAACAACGAGAACAAGACAGTGACAGAAACAGGTACTCAAGCTCTCATTCATACTCATAAGAAAAGTCACTATTGTTGATATAAAAAGATACTCAAAAGAGTTGACTTCAAACAAGCGATAACACTGTGAATCCTATAATACGGAACTGGAGCAATTAACCAGGTATCTAGGAAAACCTTATTGTGAAACATCT